AAACTCTTCCATGACGTTGCAGCATCCTCTCAGAAGAGAGAAAGAGACCGTAAGCTTGCAGAGCTCGCACATCTTCTACTCTTATTGGCTGCCATGAAAGAGCCTTTTCCATGTAAGCTGAAACAATTGTCTGTGCATTACCAAAATGCTCCTGTAGCAAAGCCTTTGCTTTGGCATATCCTCTGTCATGGGCCATATGCTGACAGCTTCTGACAAGCTCCAAAGGCTGCCCCCTGGTGTACTGTTCGAGAAAATACAGGCAGTCTTTAGGGTTGTGAGTCTTCTCCTCAATGCTGTGCTCAAAAGCTCTTATGAATGCTTGATATTGAAACGGAGAGCCATCACAAATCTGAATTTCTCTTTTAGGCAGAAAAGAAAGAGACTGTTGCTGAACCCACATGGATGTTATTTCATTTTGTCTTTCTAAGACATTAATTAAAGGATTCTGAGCACTGCTGCTTGGTGCCAGTGCTTCTGGGTGATTGCTTGGTGCTGTAACTGTGGATGTGATTGTGTTGAACTTTGATGTATATTGGCCTCTGAGCTTCTTGTGGCTTGATGTTGCAGATGTCCATATTCTACTTCATGTTCTCCTGTGCGAAAAACTGTGCATCAGACTGGCCACCTATAGGCCTGTTTGTGTCAGGCACAAATGTTTTTGCTCCAGCACTGAGTGTGGCTTCCTTTCATCCCCTTTCCAAATAAGAATGCATGCCATTGGGACTCACAGATGTGTTACTTGCAGCACGAGACCTTCCAGAGCGTCTTAGCACATTCATTTTAGCCCTTGATGCGGCTATTTTCCACTTCCATTTCCAATTGCTCCCTTCTGTTTCCTGAGCTGTTCCTTCTGTTTCCTGAGCTCTTCCTTCTTTTTCCTGAGCTCTTCCTCTTGTTCATCCAATGCATGCTTGTCTTTTAATAACATTTGTCAGGCCATGAGAGCGGCCATGTCAGCCTCAGCTTTGATGCATGATGATGTAGTTGAAACACTGGACCTGGTTCAGCAGAGCTCCGCTTGCAAGACCCAATGGCTTCCTATGTTTGAAACACTGTCACTTGGTTTTATTTCATCTTGTGCTTCGGAAGTTTCAACATTTTTCCCAGAGTGTTTTTGAAACATGAGACATACTTTGCTGGTGTTCATCAGATATCTCATTTGAGGGAACATGTGCAATGGTGCTGCTCGGTTGTCTCCCAGTTTCAGAAAGCCATTGCCTGACATCGTCGATAAATCCATTATTGTATTTCAGTGTCTTGGCAAACCATACATTTTGTTTTTCCTGTTCGTCTGCAGGAAGAAGAGGAATTACAGATTTGTGTAACAGGATGGTTTCTTTAACCAGTTGAATCAAATGTTCAAGTTGAGTTTTGTGTTTGTGAGGCGTTGTCACCCCTTTGCATGAGATCCTTCATTGTTTTAATCACACTTTTCATTTTGTGAACCTTTGATTAACGTTCCTTTGAAGCTTTTCCATTTTATTTGCCAAAGCCTTGGCAGTGAGTATCGACTCTCTCTTTTGTTCATCCATTTTTTGCCCACATTGACATCTGAATTGATCCACTTATTGGACATATCCTTTTAATGTTTTAATGAATGAACACAAATGCTCCAATCCACACAACCTCTAGCGGCACAAACCATAACACGCAAGCAAACAAGTCAGTCCCCCAATGGACACGCAGCAGTAAAACTTATTCACACTGTGTTCTATACAAACATTTACACCGCATGAAGAAGAAGTTACATTACCGCTCGCGTCCTGATTCTGTGTGGATTGTCCTTCAGTCTTTCTTTATCCTCCCGGCAGTACGCTGAAATTTCCTTAAGCCGCTCTCCAATACAGCGGGCGAACACGGCGTTTTCAATGTTTCCTTTTAATTCCACAGCGTCACAGATCGATCCTAGGAATCTCCGTAGCATCGATTTCCGTAGATCCACGCTGTGGTACAAGTATTTTTTGTTGACTTAATATTGCGGCAGTAATCTTAAACAAAGTGCCGCGAGGGACTAAACAAGAGAAAAAACAACTGTGGACGCGCAAAAACTCAACACAATATTCATTCCCTCATATTATTTAGTTCAATAAAGTCCATGCAAATGTGCTGAAATGGATACTGGCTCCGGTATTTTACCCTCTGCTTTGGTTTGAACTGTCCCCTGAGGGTTATACTGTGCACACACAGACAAAAATTGTCCTTCTCTAGCTCACTCCCCATCTATTACCAAGTGCGCAGGTAAAAGCAACCGGATATAAGCACAAACGTCACCACACAAATCCAATGACACGCCCACCATCTATAGTGACTCAAAAAACATGTAGTAACAAACACAGAAATGGCTTCATATGTGGCTCCGACAACATGTATACATGAATAAGCATAGTTGCTGTCTGTATAAATGTTAACTGTCTTCCCTTTTCCCAGTTTGCATGCCTCTGTTAGTGCGATTAGTTCTGCTGCCTGTGCTGATAAGTGAGACGGCAATGCTGCGCCCTTGAGCAGTTTCGTCTGTGTCACTACAGCATAGCCTGTTGCATTAGTTCCATCAAGATTCCTCTTACATGAACCGTCAACATACATTGTTATGTCTGCATCTGGGAAGGGAATGTCCGTCAGGTCTGTCCTTGGTAACACTCTGTTCTCAGTTTCTGCGATACAGTCATGTGGCTCCCCATCTATCTCTACTGGCATCTCTCGATAGTAAGATTTGGTTGTGATAACAACGTAGCCATGCATGCTAAATGTCTAGCTGGTGACATATAGGTTTGTTTATTTTGTAACAATAGTACGGACACTGGTGAGTTACTTTTAGAGTCAAGGATCTAAAAAGCACTATTGTTGCAGATGCCTGTACTGCCATGGAGGCTGCTATTACTGCTTGTAAACAAATGGGCATGGCTCGAGCTATGGTGTCCAACTGTGAGGAGTAAAATGCCTCTGGTCTATTTTTCCCCATGTAGTTGAGTATAAACGTCATACATGACGTCATAAATCCATTCTTACAATCTGCTGTCTGAACAAACGGTTTTGCATAATCTGGTTACATCTATTCCCATTACTTTTAAGGTAACAAATGGTTTCTCTACGTGAGCCAGCATTAATTCTACTGTACCTAATTCTAAAATATCCACTTCCTCATCGGATGAGCTGATAGACACGTTATCTGAACTTGCTTCTGTGTCACCGTCAAGGTCTGAGTCATTTTGTCTTAGGTCATCTTGATTTGGGTTATCTTGTTTTTGTAGTTGTTTCTGTTGTTTGACTTTCTACGTTAACCTTTTTCATCTGTTCAGGGTCTATGTTTGTGTGTGATAATACATGACCTGATTTTGCAGATGCACTTGGCTCTAGTCATGCCTTCTCCACCCAGTCCTCCGTTCCTTCCTGTGGCCTCTTTGCTCTGCAGTCGTTTTCCCAATGTCCAAATTTGCCACACAAAAAGCAACTTCCCTCCGGGAATTTTCCTCCCCGTTCTCCACCTCGTGCCCCACCTCGCCCTCCACCTCGTCCGTCCCTTCCACCACTTTGATCACCTCGGAAAAGCAATTCAACAGAACATACATCAGAAGTGTAATCAGATTCATCCTGTGTTAAAAACACGGCAGTTTGCTTTTGTTTCTTTTTTTTCTTTTGTTTGCCAATTTCACCCCATTCAGTTTAAATGCTCCCCTTAGAAAATCAGTCACATTCCCTGATATATTCATAAATGGCATAACGGGCATTCTGAATGTCTTACCTGACCGTGTGTTGCTGGGTTCCTCCCTCATGCCGGCTGTTCTCTGCGCGGGAGCATGAGGGTCGGTGTGTGGAGGTGGTTGGTAGGGCGGAGCGGGTGGCCAAGGCAGCGGAGTCGGTGGGGGAGCAGAGGGGTGAGACGAGCAGGAGGCCAGGGGTCCGAGGAGATCCCCGGGGTGTTGAGCTTGTGCATGGTTTTCATCTATCCATTGCTCCTGCATCACAGCAGGTTCCACAGGAGGGAGATACGGAGGCGGGGGCTGGCGGCGTCTGCATATCACTTGATCGTCAAGTTTCTCCAGTTTCTCGGAATAGGGGAGATTAGGATATAAGTTATACAAAACCTCATTTTCTGATTTCTTCTTTTCTGATTCTAATTTCTCTTTTTCTGATTTAGCTGTTTCCTTAGCATTTTCCCTTTCTCTTCCTTGCTTCGGCTAACCACATCATAGCCCCTAATAAATCCTCTTCTTCCTCCCTTTTTCCATTCCCATTACATTTGTTCTCGATGCTATCAATCAATTGTTGGCATTCCTCTACCACTAACCTCCCTTGGAAGTCGTATTTATTTTTGCCACTTTTTAATCTCTTCACACTCGTTCTATGCGATCTGCATCCATTTAGCATCTCCTGATAAGATGACTATGTCTGTTTCTATCTTCTTCCCATGGGTCTTGCTGCAGCATGAACCCATGATTAGACTTCTATAGTTTTCCCCAAAACTAAGTAAAAATGCCCTATAGCTTACGCATAAACTATAAAACTCACAACGGTTTTAGAAAAACCCAGAAAACTAAACTGTCCTAGTTTTCCCCAAAACTAAATAAAAATGCCCTATAGCTTACGCATAAACTATAAGCTCGCAATAGTTTTAGCAAAACTAAGAAAACTAAACTGTCAAAGTTTTCCCCAAAACTCAGAAAATGCCCATAGCCGTACCTCGTACTACAGACTCACAATAGTTTTAGCAAAACTAAGAAAACTAAACTGTCCTAGTTTTCCCCAAAACTAAGAAAATACCCATAGCCGTACTTAGTCACCCACTATAAAATAGCAGTACCTTGTATCCTACTATAAAGTCACACAATAGTTTTAGTAAAACTAAGAAAATGTACCCTATAGTCCACCCACGAACTATAAGATCCTTTAGTTTTTTAAGAAACTAAAAAAACTGGCCTCATAGTTTGAACCACAAACTACTTATACCCAAGGCCTCTAGTTTGAAACCACAAACCATTTAAAAGTACTTTAGATAAGTTTACCTGTCTTTCTAGGACTCATTTGGTATCCTTCCGCGAACCAAGGGGTTGAAACCAAAACGGTGCCTGTATTGACTTTCTCTCCTGTGTCGGTAGTTCAAGGATCCGTCACTCCTCTCCTCTCCAGTGTAACCTGGCCCCCCTATTTACCAAATTGTTTCTTTGTAAGGGAAACAAGGTAGGGGTCTTTTTCTAAGAGTCTCTCGACTCCCTGTGCACAGTGTCAGGCTCGTTTGCCCGGAGAAAAAAGGAGATCTTGGATTCCGGCTCGAAGGACCAATATGTTAGAAAAATATCACTCGACACCAGGTTGAGAATCAATGATCAGGTAACTAATTTATTCTTGCAAGAAGGAGCAGAGTTAAATCACATACAAAGGATATGGGTTAACTCACACACACGGGGTATGTTGCTCAAAGGAACAGCAAAAAACATCAGGCTTATATAGTCCAAAACACAGGAGATAACAACAAAGTCGTAAATCGAGGTGGCGCTAATATCAGCCGCGGGTGTAAAGTCGGGTCATCTGCGATTGGTCATCTGTGACGTCTTCTGGAAAGAGTCACGTACTTCCTTCACGCTTCATAGAAATGAGATATTTAGGAGACAGCAAGTCTGTCTTCTCATAAATATCAACAACCTGAAATGCCCTGCCTCCTCCTATCACAAGAAGAGGCAGCTGCAAGGTTCAGTTCAGAGCCACACATGATATCAGTGCATTAAAACAACCCACAGAGTGGAGAAAACATTATTTCTCCAACACAGTAAAAATCAGAATTCCGTATTACTACATTCAATTTGAAAACACATTAACAAAAACTAAATTTAAGACACATTTAAAATAAAACTTCCCGTTTCACATGAGGTGAAATAAAAGTCTAGAGTCTCACTAGGTACAGGGATATCAGCAGTATGTTGCACCTAGCACATCTGTAAGAATGGAGCAGATGGTGGTTCAAATTGCCCATTGCTGCATCCTACCCCTCTTTCACTCTCCTTTTCCTGCATCTTATGCTCAGCATTTAAACTTTTCTGTGTGGCAGCAGAATTAAGTCTTCTTTGTGAGGGGATGCAGCCATCTGTAAGCAAAATGCAAATCAGAATAATCACAAGAACAAACTCCTACAATCCTCACGTGTTGAACGTAGCCAGCAGGGTTTTGGTAGATCGGTCTTAGCATATTTATACTTCTAGGAAAATATAATAGAGAAAAAATATTCTTAGAAAGCAGAAAGAATCACTGTTTAAGACCATATCACAGAGCCTTTCACATGCACACACCGTTTAACAGAAAGATGCTTAAAGTGTAGGACAGTGTTTCAACTCTCAAAAACATATCGAGCAATCAACAGTGGCCTCATTCAGTCACAGTGGAGTCATGCGCCATGAGCTGCTTCGAAGGCATCAGATTGATCTGTGAGATCAAACCAATATCATGTCTGATCACTGATAGGCAAAGACTCTTACGGTCATGTTAAGGGTGTGACAGGCTGGAATTCCTTCCGTGCTAACATACCTCTCAACACCTCTCTCCTCTCTTATGCAACCGTTTCAACAACTTTTTTGGTTGTTTATAACCAGCAATGTGAAAGGAAATGTGGTTGCTCCAGTTTAAGTGTGAACGTGTTGTTTTTGCGTTTTAAGGCCACCAGTCAATGAGTGATGTTGGATGAGATGGACTGAAACAGAAAGTGCAGCCTCCTCCCTGACACTGAAACAATCTGGTGTCATATTCAGTAATGATATGTTGTTTAAAGTACTCTCGATCTTGACACAGGATAACAACGTTGGAAACACACTAATCTGAACAAATTCAGATAACTCATATTCCTATATGCAAGGAGTAAGTTAAGTGTTAAGTGGATGTGAAGCTGTAGGTAAAGGATTGTACAAAGTTTACAAACAGGTCATATAAAAACATGATGAATATTAAAGCCTTCAACAATTAATCAAACAACTAAAACACTTACATAATATAAATTAATATGAATTAAGTGGGATTATTGAATTTGCCGTTTTGTGCCGTTTAAAAGTAGCTATTTAGGTCACTACACTTTAACAGTACCAACGCAACGAGGCAATACCACATATCTAAATTGGCACAGTTCTCATCTTTGTGACGATTCAATTTGAGTCTTTTACGAAAGCAGCCTTCCTCCTGATAGTCTGATAAGGCGGGCTGAGTCTCAGTTTATGTGATAAGCTGCAGTCTCCTGAGATGTTTGGATAGGCCCACACAACATAACATCACGTCTGATAGGACACTGCATCGCTGCTGTGCGTCAAACCAGGTCGCTCTAATGTCCCTCTGTCTTGTCCACACGCTATATTGTTGCATTTCAGCATGAACTCTTTTATCTAAGCAGCTGTGACCTCAGATTTGTATTGTCATAACTACACTGTAGCTATGCACACCTGACAATAAAAGCCTTGAAACTTGAAACTGAATAGAATAAATTGGCAATTCTAACAAGGTTGATCCTATCTTACATACTTGATTATGCAAATATTATATCTATATATATATATATATATATAATATGTGTTAAACCACAACCAGCTCCAGGACTGTCTTTTGTGATTTATTTATGATACTGATAAGATGTTTTACTTTAGGGAAGATAGTTTGTCTACCCATTACATAAATGTTCAAGACAGGCCTTGTAAATGTGTTAAAAATTACAAATGTATGGAATCGAGGTTCAGTAGATAAGACCATTTAAAAAGCAGTCACTTTAGGTCATTCTCCATGTGTCAAACAGGAAATTATCTTGAATCACAAAGAAATGTTAATGACTTGCTGACACAATCATGATAATTTCATGAGGGCAGCAGGGTATGACCTCAGAAAAGGCAACATCTTTTATTTCCATCTAGCTTTAATATCATTTTGGTTTAAAGACCCAATCAGATTGTAGCCACCAACATAATCCCCTCATTATTCTCTCATTATATCTGAGTCCAATATTGGAGGTGTATCAAGGCCCATAAGGAAGTGCCAACAATATATCTTCAAAAGAAAACAGAAGGAAAACCTGAGAGGGCAAGAAACAAATGAGAGCTTGAGAGCATGAGAGACAAAATACATTATGCTGTTGTAAATCGTGATGCAGGTATGATTATATGATTATTAACAGTCAACAGAAAACCAATCATAGACACTTTTGGTTCCCCTCGTTGCAGCTCTTATCAGTTAGAGGTGGGAGAAAATGTCTTTCTGTGATTAATTTCTTTTGGATATATTTTCTCTGTGTGTGTGTTGTGTGTGTGTGTGGTGTGTGTGTGTGTGGTGGTGTGTGTGTGTGTGTGTGTGTGTGTGTGAGCCTGAGATCTAATACTTTCCTTGCTTCTCTGTTACTGCTGTTTATATCATAATAAGAACTGGAATCTTATAACAATTACTGGATGTTCTCAACCTCAAACAGCAGTTGATGTCCACACCAGGGGGGCACACGCTTGACCTGGTCATCACTGACTCTACCCTCAATGGAGTTCAAATTGTCTCACCACATCAAGCCCAAACGTCAAATCCATTTCAGAAATCTGAAACACATCGACACTGACATCATGACTTTGGACCTGCAGCAAATCCCCCCCCCTGCAAATTTCACAACAGTCAGTGAATCAGTGGAATTCTACAATAAAACCCTGAGTACTGTCCTGGATCTGAAAACACGAACAGTCAGCTTCTCACGCTCAGCCCCCTGGTTCACTTCAGAGCTACGTAGCATGAAGGCAGCTGGGCGTGTACTCGAGCGGCGATCTGGACTCACTGTTCACAGATAATCAAAAAGTCACTCAAAAAGCACGGTCACAGTTCTACTACGACATCATCAGTAAAACTCCTGGAAACTCCAAGCGGTTTTTCTCCACTATCGATAATCTCCTCAAGCCACAAACTCCCTCACACATCGACACTACAGAAGAGCAGTGCAATAACTTCGTTACTTTCTTCAGGACAAAAGTTGCCACTATTCGCTCTCTTCTTTCCACCCCCTGCGCTGTGTCTGTCCCTACTGTCAACCCACAGCATGGGATTTTCCAACCGCTCTGCTGCTTCACGGAGATCTCTCAGCAAGAGGTTGAGGACATCATCTGCAAGATGAAACCCTCCACCTGCACACTAGACCCTCTACCCACAGCCCTTGTCAAATCGAACATCTCGGCTATAAGTCCCATGATCACCGACGTCATCAACAGCTCCCCAAGGCTGGTCATGTTCCATCGGCTCTTAAAACTGCCGTCATCAGACCCATTCTAAAAAAAACACCCTATGACCCAGATGTCCTCGCCAACTACAGGCCCATCTCCAACCTCCCATTTCTAGTCAAGGTGCTGGAAAAAGTAGTTGCCGCCCAGCTTCAGGAACATCTAACAACTAAACGGCCTCTTTGAGAAATTCCAGTCCGGTCTCCGTTCCGCCCACAGCACTGAAACAGCTCTGGTCAGGGTCACCAACGACCTGCTGATGGCGGCTGACACTAGTTCACCATCTCTCCTCATCCTCCTGGATCTGACTGCAGCATTCGACACTGTCGACCATAACATCCTCCTTCAGCGCCTCCAATACACCATCGGACTCTCTGTACTCCGCTGGTTCCAGTCCTACCTGTCTGGAAGAACAGAGTATCGAGGCACAGGAGGTGGAGTTGCAGCCATCTTTGACTCAAGTTTACTTATCAATACTAAACCAAAATTAAATTATACCGCTTTGAAAGCCTTGTTTTTAGTCTTACGCGTCCGACCTGGAAAACATTGCAGCCAATCTTATTTGTTACAGTGTACCGTGCACCAGGTCCTTATTCAGAATTCTTATCAGAATTCTCTGAGTTTTTATCAACTTTTGTACTTAAAACAGATAAAGTAATTATCGTAGGTGACTTTAATATTCATGTTGACGACGATAGAAATAGCCTTACTGTTGCATTTAACTCTATATTAGACTCTATTGGTTTCCGTCAGAGTGTAAATAAACCAACCCACTGTTATAATCACACTCTCGACCTTGTTCTGACTTATGGTATTGAAATTGAGCAACTATTAGTCAAACCACATAATCCTGCTTTACTGTATATCAGATACCTGTAGATCTATCAGCTGTTTATTTCACATGAGTTCCAGTGTGGCAGCTTTTTTTATTTCTGACCTTGTTTGTGTAAGGTTAGTTAGAAGACAGCAGCAGGTAGCCAGGAGGCCCATCTGACGCTATGCACATTATGCTAGAGAACCCTCGCTAATCAGGAATGTACAACCACATCATCGACCTTCTCATAAAAGTAAACAGGTTTATCAACCCTCTGATCATCACGCGGTAGCAGCGAGGCACATTTTTCTGCGCTCCAGGTACATTTCCCTAAGCAGCAAACACTCGCTGCAGACACGTGAAAAAAAACTACAGATCTGCAGATTACTGGCCTCAGATTACTGAACGGATGATTTTAATTTCATGTAAGGGAATGTCAATCAGCCTTCTTTGTTTTTCTAACAATATAAGGTAAAAATCGGATTAAACTGTAGTTTAAGAAATATAGTTGTTAAACA